TATATATATATATATATTGTTATAAGAAAGAAGTAAACATAAAAACTGGCTTAAAATAGGTGCAGCCTTCTCTTTTAATCCTACTGAACTTTTTTTGCTTTTTGGCTGCAAATCTTTTTAATATTCCTACCATAAAATTCAATAGAATTTAAAATGCAGTCTTGATTTAACAATTGATGCAATTATTGTAAATTGTGAAATTTTTAAAGAAATTATAACCATGATGATTAAAATATATCTTGATATTTAAGAGTTTAGCTTTGTTTGGGACTTTACCTTTAAATTACCATTAAGTTCTGCAAGGTTCAACAGGTGAGGCTTTGTTTGGGACAGCTCTTTTACTATTTTTTAAAGCAACTTTTTATTATAAAATTAAATTTTTTATATCAGAAAGTTAAGACTCTACCAAAAAGGACGGGAAGACGTAGAGGAGCTCTAGGGTTTTTCGTGGGTTTTGAGGCTTCTCTCTTGCCTCCGCCGCCGACTTTCCGGGAGAGGAAGGCCTCTCTCGGAACTCTCTGCATGGATCTCAAGCAGGCTGATTTCCCTCCGTTGAGATCCTCCACTCTGGGAATGCTGCTCCACCGCTAGAACGTTCCTATGCGAACAACTTCATTGATGTCTCCCTGCCTTAAGAAGACTTTGAAATGTCCTTTGTTCCTCCTAAGTCAAAGCTCTCATTCGTTGCTGGTGATCTTTCGGAGGGCGCTTCCATTTGGTCCCTGTCTCTTGTTGGTTATTCGCTAGGTCCGCGTCCATACTATGAACGATTACTTGCTTCCATGAACAAGGTTTGGCAGTTGAAATGTTCTATCTCACTTCTCTCCTTAGCTGATGGGTTTTTTTTCTTATCAAGTTCACCTCTAGGGAAGATTACTCTAAGGTTTGGACTGGTGGTCCATGGTTTTTACTTGGTAGACCATTCATTTTGCAAAAATGGTAGCCCAAGTTTAAACCAAGGCGGGATGAATCCGCCTCCTTCCCCATTTGGATTAAAATTGTGGACTTGCCGCTTGCTCTGTGGAGTCCTTTCGGGATATAAAAAATTGCTAGTTACATCGGCATCCCATTGAATGTTGATTCCCTCACTGCCAAGAGAACGAGGCTAACCTTTGCTCGGGTTTGTGTCCAAATCAGCAAAGATTCCCTGCTCCCTGATGAGATCCTGATTGAAATTGATGGGGAAGACCTCAACCTTCAAGTTCTTTATGATTGGAAACCTTCCTGCTATGAAGGTTGTGGCTCTATTATGCACCCGTTCTCTCTTTGCCCGGACAATCCCAACCCGAAACCCCAACTCCCTCCTCCCAAATTCAAAGGTCGCAGCACTAGTCGACGCCCCTTCAGTCGTCCTTCTAACTCTATTCAACCCCCGATGCAGAAACCTCCCAATCTCCCACCGATCATTCCCCCTCGGTATATCTTACCTTCGCCTGCTGCTTTACCTCCCTCCTCTAATGAGTTGATCACTAATCCTCCCACTCTTCAAATCCATTCCACCTTCTTTAACCCTCAGCCACTATCCACAGCGGTTAAATCTCCTACACCTCAAAGTCCTAAATCGCATGCGGCCTCTCAACATCTTTCCAAAGCTATTGATGCTACTCCTCCTCAAAGCCCTACGCTGTTTGCGGGTCCTGACAAGGAACCTGTCATTTCCAATTTAAACCTTATCACTGAAACTTCCTCATCCTCTAATAATCTCATCCAGATTCCTAAAAAGTCAACCCCTATACCTTTCTCTACCTCCCCTGCACCCCCCTTCATAAAACCATTCATCACAAAAAACAAATTTGAGTATTTGGTGGATGAAGATTCCTCTTCTCCTTCTAATGATCAGATTATTTCTCAAGAGGTCTCTACCTCTTCGAATGTGGGCAAGAAAAAGCTGAAGGCTAAGGATCCTCCTGACCCACCACCTTCTTCTTCTAAACAGACCCGAGGGGAAAATGCCAGGAAGGCAAAATTTCCAAATCCTGATTAATGTATTTTACCTATAGCTTGTTGGAATGTGAGAGGGTTTAATAACCCTGACAAAGTTTTTTCCTATAGAGATTTGGTTTCCTCTCAAAGTCTAAAGTTTCTTTGCATCCTTGAAGCTAAAGTTCACTCTTCTGCTCTTCAAGACCCCTGGTTTGTTAACTCTCATACCATTTTTAGCAATGAGGATAGCTGCAATAACTTCAATATTTCTACTGTTGGTAGGATTTGGTTAAAATGGGATTCTTCTGTCTTCTCCTTTAATCCCCTTTTTTCTTCTTCTCAAATGATTCATGGCACCCTTTCTTGTGGTTCTTTACCTCCTTTCTTGATGTCTGTCATATATGCTGCTAACACTGCTCAGGAGAGGGATTCTCTTGGCAATATATGAGAGGTTTGATTCCTACTTCGCCTCACCTGTGGATCATTTTGGGTGACTTTAATTGTTGCCGTTTTGCTAATGAAAAAGCTGGTGGTATTGAGCTTTTACCTAGCAGGCTTGGGGAACTCAATAACTTCATTTTTGATGGGGGAGTTCATGATTTTCCCTCTGTTGGTTTGTTTTACACTTTGTCCAACTTGCAGATCAGTCAACCTATTCACATTAAGCTCGACAGGATGCTTGTTAATGTTGAATTTCTGTATGTTTTTCCACAAGCTTATTACAACATCTTACCTACGGCCAACTCTGATCACTCCCCTTTGGTGTTATTAGCAGCTCCCAAATCCCACACGCCTCGTCGTTTTCTTTTTAAAAATTACTGGATTCATATGGTTGGTTTTTTGGAGGATGTTTTGGATTCTTTCTCCCATTATAATCAATGAAGCCCTATTACCTCCCTACACAGAAATTTGAAATGCTTAAAGGTTAAATTGAAGGATAAGGATCGGTCTTCTTCTCACTATCTTTCTAAGTCCATTTTGGAATTTAAGAGCAAGCATCATGATTGCCTTTCTAAGAGCAAGCATCATGATTGCCTTTTGGCACTCCAAAATCAACCTTTGGATTCTGAACTTAACAATAATTTGAAGACTATCAAAGAGCATCTTATTAAGCTCCAAGCTTCTTGGGCTTCGTGGATTTCTCAGAGGGCTAAAGAGCATTGGCTTTCCAAAGGTGAGGATGATCTTGGTTTCCTCTATGCTAAAATTCGGTCCAGGGCCAACCTTAACATGATTAGGGAAATCTCTTTCCCTTGGGGGCATTTCACTAATCATAAAGATATTGTTGAGGTCCTCATATTGCACTGTACTGATTCCTTCAATGCCCCTAAGCCGCTTAACGCTCTCAACTTTAATATTCCTTCTGGAAAAGTGATTCCTGACAGTTTACTTCCAACCCTTTTAGCTCCCTTTTCTAATGATGAAATTAAGGAGGCGATTTTTCCTGGGCATAGTTTTTCTGCTCCGGGTCCAGATGGGTTCACTTTTGCTTTTTATAAACTCTCTTAGCACATCATTGGCCTTCAAGTTTGCAACGCTGTCAAGAATTTTTATAGAACTGGTCATCTTCCCAAAGGGGTCAAAGCCTCTGCTCTCATTTTAATTCCAAAAGGTCATCATGCCTCCACTATTAATGATTATAGACCTATATCATTACGCGATGTGCTTTATAAAATTGTGACTAAAGTTCTTGCTAATATATTGAAATTAGTGTTGCCTCCTATTCATGATAGTAAAGTGGGCTTTGTTAAAGGGAGATGCTCTACGGATAACATTCTTTTAGCTGGTGAAATTCTGAAGGATTTCTTTCTTCTCAAAATATTTTTTGTGCCAAACTTGATATCAAGAAAGCCTTGACTCAGTGTCTCATGACTTTCTCAAAGTTAGGATGAAGCAAAAAGGCTTCCCGGAGCAGTTCATTAAGTGGGTTGATGGTTGCTTATCGGGTGTGTTCCTCTCCATTTGTTTGAATGGCACTCTTGAAGGTTTTTTCTCCACTACCACTGGACTTCGCCAAGGTTGTCCTTTATCCCCTCTACTGTTTTGCATTGTGATGGATGCTCTTTCATGTTCTCTCAATCAGGATTTTGAGAGTCCTAATCTCCGGTGCCTTAGAAATGGGGTTACTTTTAATTATTTACTGTATGCGGACGATTTGCTTATTTTCGGTAATGCGACCCCTTCCTCTGCTAACTCCCTCATGGAATCACTGAATTATTTTGCCAATGCATCCGGGCTCTTTATTAATCCTGCTAAAAGTTCCATCCTATTTTCAAAAATTGCTACCCACTCTGAGGCCGTCTGTCGCATTTTGGGCATTACAAAAGTGGATTCTTATCTGAAATACGTCTCCTTGTTTCTCAATCTAGGTTCAAATTTTCTCACTTCCAACCGCTATTGAGTAGAATTTCTACTCTACTTGACGGTTGGAAAGTCAAATTCCTTTCTTTTGCAGGTAGAGACCAATTTCTCAAATTCACAATTGCTAATATCATAACTTATTGGATTAGAGGATCCATTATACCAAGGAAATGCCAGAAAATTATCACTAGTTTATGTTCCAAATTTTTATTTCATGGTAAAATTGGCGGTAAGAAATTGCATTTGATAGCTTGGAAAGACACTGCTATTCCTACTCATTTTGGTGGCATTGGCATTAATTTCCTTGAGGCGTTATATCATGCTTCCTCTGTATCTTTTATATGGAGGTTATATAATACTCAATCTATGGCCTCAATCTGGTGTAGGCTCAATTACATTTCAGTTTGGAAGTCTCCCAGTCCTCATGCCTCTAAGTTCTGGAAACTGATTTGTTTTGTTGCTCAAAAAATAAAAAATTGCATTGTTATTTCTGTGAATACTCATGCTAATCTTTCTATGGCCTGGGACCCTTGGTGTAACGGATCTGTTTTGACAGATTTTATTCCTGTTGGGGATTTTGAAAAGCTTTTGATTAACTCTTATTGGGTTAATGAAACCTGGATTCTTCCTGCCTCCTGGCCGGAACATCTTAGATTAGCTATTTGGAGTTGTCCTGTTAATGAAAAACCTGCATTGACTTGGTTGGGCTCTTCTAAGCCCTCTTTTAAAGCTTATATTGCTCAGTTTTTTTAGCATTTGAATGAAGTTGAATGGCATAAATTTATCTGGCATAAAAAACATGTTTTACGGTATTCCTGTTACTCTTGGATGGCAATCATTGGGAAGCTTAAACTAGCAGATGTTTTGATTAACAGGGGAATTTCGGTGAACCCCTACTGTGCTTTTTGTCTTAGCCATCTGGAAACTCATAACCATATGTTTTTTTCTTGTGATTTCACTTTTACGGTGGTTACTATGCTCCTACCTGTTTTAAAAAGCTTCTTTTTGAGGCCTAACCTTCTTCAAGTGTTCGATTATCTGGATAATTCTAATGTCGAAGATAAGAATTTCTGCTTCCTTGTTGTTTTGTGCACGATTTATCATTTGTGGCTGGAAAGGAATAGCAGGAGGTTCGACAATTCTTGGAAACATCCGAATGAGCTCATACTGAGTATTAAAAATGCTATTATACGGAGAGTTAAAAACTGGAATGGTTGGGATCTGATATCTAATCGTTTTGCTCTGCTCTCTTCTTAGTTTGGATCTCTGCTGGCTTTGTTTTGGCCATTTTTTTTGCTGATGGCTGTGATTGTTTTGCTGGGTCAGTGATGATGAGGCTTGCCTGTGCACTTACAAATATTGAAGTTGGACATTTTCTGCCTTTGGATTCTCGTCAGCTGCTGGTTGCCTGCTTACAGTTTTTGGGGGAATTTTGGCAACCAGTCTTCCCTGGACGGCCAACTTTCTGGATTTTGCTTGTTGTCTGAGTAGTTTTTGGCAATTTTGATTTTGTCTTCTCTGAATCTGTATTGTACTTGTTGCATGCAGGTTAGCCTCTCCATAAGACCATTTTTGGCTTTCTCAACTCCCCCCCCCCCCCCTCTAATTCTCAATTCTCTTGTACTATATGGGTTTTTGCCCAAATTTCCCAATAAAACTTTAAACAGTTAAAAAAAATCATCATACGAAACCTAAGTCTTCATTAAGAGAAAACATCAAGAGAAAAAGCTATACAGTCCCCACGAAAAACCACCAAATTAGGTTTAAATTTATTCGCTATTAGCATCACCTTTAGTCAGAACAGGCTAGAAATGTTTTTTTAACAAAAAAAGTAATATATTCAAAAAAAAAAAAAATTCAATATATTATTTACACTCTAATTCTAAATTTTTACAGTGTAAAATTGATATTTTTTAATTATATTCTATAAAATAAAAATATATACATCATAAAAATGATGAAAGCAGAGATATTATTTTGTGCGGTCTTCGAATAATCCAGGATGAATTCACGAACGCGCCTGTCCCAGTAGCCAGGCAGTACACAATGCAAAAATGACGTGATACGGTTCTCATTTGACTCTAGACATCATTGACCGCACAAAATATTTCCAAAAAACAGCACATACTATTATCATGCCCATTTGAATCCCCAACTTTAGTCATAAAGGTATTTTGTCCACATTGATTGCATTAACTTTCAGTACAGAGGTGTCCCTTACGAATGATGCAAATAAACTAACTGAAAATGAGTCAAATTGCGCTCAATGTGAAATCACTTATCAGAGTGTTGAAAATAAAATAATAATAATTAATTTTTGTAATTGGAGTTGTCCATCATCAGTTTACCCTTTAATTATTGCTAAAATAAATGTTTGTCCCCCCATATTTGTATCAGTTGAGGTGTCACCAATCCAGTTTTTTATCAAATCAATTAACAATATGTTAAATAAAAATTCTTTATCAAATAATTAATTCGATTTAGGTAAATAGTGATTCAAGATTAAATAGAGCTTAAGTTAAGGATTATATATATATATATATATATATATATATAAGAAAATATTAATCATATTAATAATAGAATTTTGATTATAATAAATCATTGATAGGATAATATTTATATATCATATAATTGCATTCATAATGGATGTGCTTGTTGATATTATTTGCTAGCATAGTTGAGGAGTCTATAGAATAGCGACGCACTTTCAAGGTATTAGGCTCTAATAGACATGTGAAAAAAAATTGTCTTTGTTAAGATATTATATATGATCAACTACTTACTTATTACATGAGTAGGATAAAATCAAGGATCAACCTTAAGCTCATATCATTTTGCTTTAGTCATGGATGTGCTCACAAGACATTTGCAAGAGGTTGTACCCTTATGTATGTTTTTTGCTGATGATATTCTTCTTATTGATAAGACTAGAAAGGGAGTTGAAGGTAAACTTGAATTATGGAGGTCAACCTTAGAATCTAAAGGCTTTCCTTTGAGTAGATCTAAAACTGAATATATGGAATATAATTTTAAAAATAATAGTTCTAGTATGAGGATTGTGACTTTGGGTGTTCAAGTCATTAATAAGAGTAGGCATTTTAGATATCTTGGGACTATTGTTCAGAGTGATGGTGAAATAGATTGGGATATTATTAGTAGAATTCAAGTTGGATGGTTGAAGTGGAGGAATGCATCAGGCTTGTTGTGTGATAGAAATGTCCCCATCAAACTTTAGGAAAAATTCTATAAGATGGTGGTTAGACCTGCAATGTTTTATGGTGCAGAATGTTGGTCATTAAAAGAGAAGCATATATTACGTGTGTCAATATTTGACACAACACAAAAACCCGACTCGAATCCAACCCTAAAATTTCAGGTTAGGGTCAACCCGAACCTGAACCCGAAACGGATCGAGTTCGGGTTCAACAATTCGACCCATTTCAAAAATTGGGTCGAATTCGGGTTGACCCTTTGACCCAAAATTGACATGTTTTTTACCCAAAAATCAATTTTTGACCTAGCAACCCGAGATTGGCCCATTTTTTTACCCATTTTTAACTCGAAAAGCTGATATTGACCCGTTTTTGGACCTTAAAACTAGTAGTATTTTGTTGGCACCGTGTCATTCGGGTCGTCTCGAGTTGACTCAAATTCGAAGCGGGTCAGGTTCGGGTTGACCCGAATAATGTTGGGATAATTTTGGGTTCGACCCGAACCTGAACCCGACCCGTGACTTGAAATTGACACCCCTACATAATATTAAGTTAATTATTCTAGAGATGAAGATGCTCAAGTGAATGAGTGGCTTTACGTACTCTTAGAGACATGATACAAAATGAGCATATATGTGAAAAGGTTGGAGTAGCTCCAATTGAAGATAAGATTAGAGAGAGATGCCTTAGATGGTTTGGTCGCATAAAACAGTGATTTTCTGATGACCCGATTAGAAAAGTAGATGTATAAGATTTGACTTATGTTAAGAAGGGTAGAGGTAGACCTAAAAAGACTTGGTTGTAAAATATTACAAATTACATTTCTTTATTAGATTTAAATGAAAATTTAACTATTAATATGGCACAATGGAGAAAAAAGGATTCATATGGCCGCCCCCACATAATATATTATTGATGTTAATATATAATAATAAGTAAGCAATTAAGAATCATATTGGACCAGCTAGTATTGTTATGTCCTGGAAGATTCACGTTGATAGAGAAATATAAAGTTTAACGTCTTAGATTTGTACGAAGATCCAGTACACAACCAGGTAAAAGAGGGTATAGCGTTTATAAGAGACATCAGAGTTTTTACATGGAAACACCTGAAAAGGGGGAAAAATCACAGGGCCTAACCCAGTTTGAATGAATCCACTAATGTTTGCAGTCGATTACAAATTAGGCCTTTCCTTAGGGGAAGGTCTTGGCTTGATGTAGAAAATATACATCATATAGAGTGCATTACATGGTGGGAATTGGAAGAATAAGTATTGACATGTTCGTTTGGATGGAAAGACTATAGACGGCGGGTGACGGTGGTCAGAAAGGCCGTAATAGGATAACGGTGGTCGAAAGGGCATTAGTCGGTGAGCGACGAAGGTCGGAAAGAACGTTGTCGGGTGATGGAGGTTGGAATGACCATAATCGGCGTTCGATGAATGTTAGAAAGATCGTTATTATGCGACGGACGTCGAAATGATCATAGTCAGTGGGCGACAGAGGTTAGAAGGATTGTAATCAGCAGATGACAGAGGTCAAAAAGACCATTATCACGCGACGAAGGTCAGAAGGACCGTAGTCACGAGCGAAGAAAGTCAAATGGACCCTAGTTGGCGGGTGACAAAGATCAGAAAGACTAATCCTGGCGACGGAGGTCAGAAGGATCGTAGTTGGCGGGCGAGGGAGGCCGGAAAGACCGTAGTCGACGGGCGAGGAAGGTCGAAAATACCGTAGTCAGCAAGAGACGGAGGTCGGAGGGATCGTTATCTAACAGCGAATGTCAGAAGGACTGTAGACAGCGGGCGGCGAAGGTCGGAAAGATCATTATATGGAAATGAAGGTCGGAAGGACCGTAGTCAACCGACGACGGAGGTCAGAAAGATCGTAATCTGGCAATTTTGGAGGTCAGAATACAATTTTGGAGCCTTTTCTTATTTTCTTTTCATTTACTAGAAATTTGGCACCAACGCAACTCACTTTGATTTGTTGGTTTGGAGCTTAAGCTATCAACCAAGAGGTCATGGATTCGAAGCTTGTGTTTATGATGTGTGTGAGTTTACCTTAATTGGCCTAAATGTCCAAAAAAAAGGAAATTAAGCACATTACTCAATAAGTTTCAGAAGTTTTGCTCTATATACTATTGGAACGCAGCTCATCTTGATAATATTGTTGAGAATTTTAACTGCCAATCAAGAGATCGTGAGTTCGAGTCTTACGTATGTGATGTGTGTATGAATTTATCTTATTTAACCAAAATGTATGATGACGTATACTGTTTTATTTGGGACTCTATGGGGTTGCACACTAAGAACCTTCTGAACTGATTTCTTAACTATGGAGCTGTGGGCAACTTGGCTTAGCTGTCTTTACCATGGCTTTACCAATTCCTACACAAAATCAATTAAAGCAGAATGGAAAACTTTCAATGCTCTAAATTCCTTGTTATTTTTGTGATAGGAAATACTTAGATCCAAGTATTCCTATCGATTCGAGTGGGGAAAAAAGCAATAGAATGGCTGTTTTCTGCAGGAAATCAGCCCAAAACGCAGGAAAACAGTAGAAAAACAGAGAAATCTGTAGGAAATCTGAGAGAAAAACACACAATGGACTTATATTCCACTAGTAGATGATCAAAACAAAAGCAAGATACAATGTTCTTCGATTCGAATAGGAAGAACAATCTCTCCGACAATCTCCGCAATGCCCAAGAGCCCAAGCAAGAACCCTAGATCTCAATACAGTTCAAATTCAAGTGAGGCTCTAAATTCTCACCAAAACTCCCTAATAAAGGACAAAGGGACAATTACAAACTTCCTAAACAGTCCCCCAACATCAAAATTCCCTCCAAGCACACCCAAAAGCCATGTGGACTCTCCTTTGGTTTCCGCTCAGACCCGCAGCTCCCGCTCTTGTCTTTCTCCGCCTGGAATAGTAACAAGTTGATCCGGTCGGGCTGGACGGTCCAGCGCCGCCCCCCTCCTGGCCGGCGTAACATTTGTTGTTCACACTTGATTTTTTTCTCACTCATCGCTTTGCTCTGCACTTTGATATTAACCCGTAAGGCTTAAGTGCTCCTGATTACAGACTTCAGATTTTGTTCGCCCTTCCGAATACAGTGAATTTTGAGTACAGAACTACAGCATGATGCAACATAATCATGCAGCAAATGCATTTGTAAGGCAAGGTGTGTCTCCAAAGTTCGAGAAATGCATTTCATTTGACAAGTAAAATAGTATCTTGTAGATGATATGAAAGCATTCCCTAAAAGAAGATATTTGAGAAGTTTGGAACGCAAAAATTATAGCAGCAACCTGAGGCTCTATCAAGAATTGGATCCTGTTCTAACTGCCAGATTAGAAGAACATAATATTAGTTGCAAAAGCTGAAGTAGAATCGAAATGGAGCAATGGCTCACAATCACACTACATGGATTCCAGTTTTTTTGACGACAAGAAAGGAGATGGCCAAAAATATGGTAATTTGTCAGATTACTGTAATTCAGGCGTGAATGGCACGGGTAGGCAATTCTCTTGTAAGCGATCAGACCTGACCATTCTCGATTAAGATCAAGCAAAATAGGCCTCAAGATATTCAGTACGACGCTTGTCAAAAATGGATTTCCGGTCGGGTTTAGCCCTAATAAGCTAAATACTTATATCAGGCCTCCGGTCCAATCTATTAAACCACAGTGGGTCAAATCGGGTGAGTATCGGTTTGATCCAAACCCAACCCGAACTCCTAAGCCTCCCGTGAGTCCTGGCACTGCAGAATAGAATGAAGTTTTAACTTTTTAGCTCGGGAAAAAATGGAAGCTGGAACATGCTGATTATACATAACGCAAATCTCGACTTCGTGAACTACATTACTCATCAAACCACATCAGCGTAGAAGCCCTTTTAAACATGAATCAATTTTTCCTGCAGATGTGAATTCTTCTTATCCTAACATCACACTGTGTTTAATAATTTAGATTCATGTTATTCAGCTGCCTTTATCAGCTAAAGAGTTTTTTCGGCAAGGATCTATCTCCAAGAGGGTGGGATCTAAGTTTCTAAGTAGTTACTAATCTCACACACTTTTTGGAGTTAGTTAAATATTTAATTCTATGAGGAGTCACCACAATCGTTTCCCCCCCAACAAATTTTCAAGTACTTATTTCTTTAGAAATGAAAGTTTTTAGTGGCATGAGCAGAGTTTCGCAATTGGCAAACAATGAAACTCATGGCTATATGGTTGAGAATTAACTTATAAGTGATCTCAACCCGTATTTATACGGTAAAAAGATGATATCTGGATAACAGAACTGTAAAATGCGGGTAGGAAAAGCTCATTCAAATGGCCAAAATGATAAGTCAAGAGCTATAAACGAATGTTCTTCTAACTTTCTTTCAATACTTGCGCAGGCTGCTCCTCCTAGAGTTCAAAGTCGAATTTCTTTAGTTTTGCGGCTCCTGGGCTAAGTTCCGATTTATGAGGAACCATGATATCGCTAGAAGATTTGGATGAAATTCATCCCGAAGAGTTGCATGAAACGCTTTTTTCAATTGTTTTCTTATAGGGATAGATGTGTTTAACGGAGCCAACAGAGATATTTCTTTTTTTCTTACTTTGTCTATATGAATCGAACGCTACCGGAGAAACATGGGGCTGAAGTTAACTCATTTTTGAGCTAAGATAAAAAAAGAAGAGTTTGGGATCAAGGTTCTTCCAATTGGACTTGGTAAAGGCCGCTGACTCGCAGTCCAGCCGGAAAGAATGAGCTTTTTTTTGGGGCGAAACCCCATCAAACAAAATAGCAACCCCCCAATTTAAAGCTTATCAAACTAGTTGAATTCAGCATCGAAGAGTTCTTACTCTAATTGGTTCAAGCAAACAATCTCGATCAAGAGAAATTTCAAATGAAAGCAACAAAGTGAAGAACAAATAAAATTCTTATGGTTGAATGATCTTTGCACTATTTCGTGTATCGGCTGGTTTCCCTCCGCGAATGAACTTGGGCTTATAGAAAACACTTATGACTGTATTTTGCATTTTTTGACTAACTCTTTTTTCCTTAAACTCGGGACAAATTTTGGCTATTTGGGTTAAATTGTAAAGTGTGCCTGAAGCTATACAGAATGAGTCTGAAAATCCAATCCAATATTTAAGGTTATGATTTTGTGATAAAATCAGTTTAATACAACAATTAAGGCTTAGAAGTATAGAAATTAAAATTATTTTAATTCATTTACTTTCAATAAATTAAAAAAAACTTAATTTTTTTAACAAGTCAATTAAACAACACTAAGTTTTCAAATGCAATATTTCATTAGTATTTTTTTTTTACATAACAAGATTAATATTCCTAATGAATTTCTTCAATTTTGATCTCATATAAATAACATTTTTATAAGTAATAACAATGATATTTTTTGAATAAAAAAGTGGGGTTTAAGTTGACAAAATTGATGCATATCTGAATAATAAATAATAATTTAATACATTTAATATTTCTATAAAGTGATCCTGACTCTGTAGCATCCAACAACACTAGTATATTTGCTGATCCTGTAGCCGAAGATTTCAATGCCCCTTTTGTAAAACTCTTAAAGACTTACTATTAGAATATGAC